TATTGTGATCATGGTGATCAAGTAGGCCTCACTATCTCGTGAAGCTACATGGCCTTTTGTTAGCTTGTTTTTGTTTTTTTTTTCTTTAATGGAATTTTGTGGTTCATTAGAGAGAATAAACAATAAAGATTTTTTTTTTTTTTTATAATTAAGATGTTGGGAATTTTAAAACTGTGGTTTTTCTATCCCGTGGAGATCATTTCTTATGTAATTCATTGGGTGTTCTCTGTTTACATAAATTAGATTTTGTAGTTGTGAACCTTTTTGGTGTATTTCTTCCTGTTAAAAGTAATTTGTAGTCTGTATCTCAAGAAGTTTGCATATGTCAATACTGTGGATATGGACATGACAATGAAGTAGGGAATTTTTTCGAAGGTTCTGTTGTTTGGATTTGTGGTAAAATTTAATCTTTATTTATTTTAATGTTAAACCCAAACTTATACCAATGGGATTAAATAGTTGAATGGCCTCAGTGACAAATTTCAATGGACAAATATTCAAATTGATTTTTTGTGATACTTGTTAGAAAACCTGAACTTGTTGGGAAACAATAGTCTTATGATGGAACTACTTCTGGTAATACCCACCTTTTCTATTTTAAAGCTCTCCTTTGAATACTATGTTATGGAGATAATGCTCATAATTCTACAACTGTGAATGTTATCTACATAATAACCCATGTCTCCAAAGACATGGATATATGTCAGCATCTAACATGAATAGGAGTGTCAGAAACGCATGCCTCAAAATTAGCCTTTTGGGCAACATCTGAACATCATTTGAACAAAAGGGGAGGGGGATAGTAGGTGACAAGTACTTCCATGGTGAGATATCAACAAGGATTGTCAAGAAGTATCTTATTGTCAAGAAGTGTCTGACATGAGTGTCGCGTTCCTGGTGTGTTGTGTACGTTAAAACCACAGACATTAATTTCCATGTTACCCTTGATGCCCTGTTCTCCATAGGTTTGGCTCTTTTCTCTTCTTTTTATCTTGGGAGCGAATAAGATGATTTGCGAGCTATAGGACTTTGGGCTGCTGCGGCCTTCACAACTAGGTGCTAATGGAGGTTCATATCTTTGAGCAAATTACCAAAATTGGACATTGATTAGTAGAAGACATCCCCTAGGGATTAAGAAGTGAGGGATGGTTCCAATGTAAAAGGACCATAGGGGTGATTTACCTTTACGAACTAACCTGATGAACTTTTTTAGCTAAACAAATATCCCTCCTTACGTGGATTGGATGACTCTTTGCACCTTGATCCTCTTGTACAAAGAATTGGAGAAAATTCTTATTTGTGGTTAAACAACGAATGATTTATTATTTTAAATAAATTGAGTAGTGGATTATCAACTACCCAAAAAAAGGTAGTGGATGCACAAATATGCAAACAAAATAAGATAGATTTAAGAATGAAGTGAGGTAATAAAAATATACAAGGTAATAAAAATATACATGATAAAGCAAGAAAAGGTATAAAAAAGTTATATAGGAAGTGGAGTTCCAATGGATCAAATATTCACAGTGAGTTTCTGTCCATTTGAGCAGCGATATCTTAGTTTATCAATTGGATGGAGAGGAGGCTGACCATTTATTGTTTATTGAAGGAAACCATTTTGCTGCTATTGGAGTGTTTTGGTTGTTTCTAGATAAGGTTAGGGAGCTTGAAAGGCATATGGGATTAAATGATCTTTCAATTGGCCATTGAAAATAATGCAACATTTTTTAAAACAACATTAAAAAAGAAGCTAAGAAAATTATAACCTTTAAAATGCTCTATGGTTTCCATGCTTGCTTAGCCCCATATAGAGTTGTAAAAACTCAGTTGATTAGAATGTGTGATTTCATACTGTGCTTTCCGTGGGTATTGAAGTTCATGTATTTCTACTTGTAACGATGATTTTAATTCTGAAGCTAAACATCTTGGCTACCAGTTGATGTAGCTGTGTGGCCTAATGGGTTTTTATTCTGGGCACTTTTGGTTTAATGTGACTCCTTATAGGTATTAGTTCTGGAAGAGAACATGGGAATGGTTCCAGTAATCTTAATACGTAATATTATAGTAAACTTCCAAGTGGTTTTTTGTACTGCATGTAGTAAGCACTGCAAAGGTATTCTAAAGGAATTCTGCGTTTGGGCATACTATGTGAAAACTCATGTTGTGAAAAGGTTGAAGCATACTATAATCAATTGGACTACACAAGACCATAGTCCCTCAAGGACATGGCTGTCCATTGACATATGGATGCTGATGGGGGGAGAGTGATATTCATCCACTCTCTCTCCATTACTGCTATTCATTTCAATGGATGGTAATGACCCTGATTGACTATGATTCTCAATAGTTCATTTGATCATTTATATTTTCACCATAAAAAGGATAATCTCAACTTAGCTTTAGGAAAGAACCAAACGGTAGAGGCTAGAGTTTCCTCATTTATTAATTTGACCCATTGAATATCTGCAGGGGCAGTTTGGTATCTCCCACCAGCAAGCCCTAGCTCAGGTCACAGCTCAGGCTGCTCAATCGCAATCACAACTGCACTTCCAAGCAGAGTACCCTCCTTCAATCTCAGCACCTTCTTTGACCCATTCAGCTCCTCCTCCTCCTGTCAACGCAACTCCAATACAACAGAGGATGCCTTCAGCATCAGATGGAAAAGAATCTGGAGAGGTTTCTTACTCTGAGAGAAGGTCCCATGCTCCTATAGTGGTCGATAAACCATCTGACGATGGTTACAATTGGCGAAAGTATGGGCAAAAGCAGGTGAAAGGAAGTGAATATCCTCGAAGTTATTATAAGTGTACCCACCCCAGTTGCCCGGTCAAGAAGAAGGTCGAGCGTAACCTAGAGGGGCATGTGACGGAGATAATCTATAAGGGTCAGCACAATCATGCAATGCCTCAAACAAATAAGCGTGTGAAAGATGGTGGATCTCTGGTTGGAGGCACTAGTGAAGGGAATGGGAGCTCAGATGCGATTGCAAAATCTGAGACAGGGGGTTACAGTGGTAGTTTGAGCAGTGTAAATGCCCCTGGTCCCTCAATGCAAAGGAGGGACCAGGAATATGGGCAGGGGACACCGGATAATATGTCAGGCTCAAGTGATGGTGAGGAAGCCGGCGGTGCCATTGTTAAGGCAGATGATAGGCATGATGATGAGCCCGATCTAAAGAGAAGGTAAGTGGTTCAAACCAAGTTATTAAAGTCCTACTACCAATAAAAAGGAAAAAAAAAAAGTGAGTTTCTTCAATTTCTCCTAACCAGTAGAAGAACCCAATCCTAAAAAAACCCAAGTTCTATTATTATGGATTTGTTGATCCTGCATTTTGGTCATGAAAAAAATCTGAAATCATGGTGCAGGAACATAGCTGATAGGGAGACACAAGTGAGTACTTCTCATAGAACAGTCACTGAGCCTAGGATTATCGTGCAGACGACGAGTGAGGTTGATTTGTTAGATGATGGCTACAGGTGGCGCAAGTATGGGCAGAAAGTAGTGAAAGGGAACCCTCATCCTAGGTGGGTACTTTCTACTGTAGTCGAATTTTGTAAAAGCTTTAGTTCTTCTGTTTAAAGGAAGTGGACCTTTGTCCAGGGAACTAGTGTATATGCTAATCCAAGGCTACATCACTCTATCCATTCACATCGACGGTGGGTTGAAAATTAACTTCTGCGGGGCCCACATGGACATTTCCCAGGTGCATTTAATCTTCAACCTTCTGTCAGTGGGAAGAGATGTTGATGTGACCTTGGGATTCATAGTATAGTACATTAGACTAAGATGTTTTTCCCTTCTTTATGAGATCAATGGATACGTTGGAGCGGTTTATTTTGGATTCATCATTTTATGCTTTATCTATCTTTCCTGCGTATGTCAAATATAAACAAGCAAATTCTGTTGAATCACTGAAAAATTAAAATCCCATAATTCTATATTTGCTGTGAGATTACTGCTGGGTGAGAAACACTATATATCACTACATGTAGCATCTATTACATGTTAATCATGAAATTGGTGTGTAATTTTGTTGGTGATTCATTCTCTGTTCTATACCTTTCTACTACGGATTATGGAAAATCCCAATGCAGAGTGTGCCATGAAAGGCCCTGCTTTATCCCTCAATTGTGACTCTAAGAATTGTATTGTGATACTATTATCCCTTAGGATGGAGATTACCTCCACGATATTCATTCTCTGTCTTGGAGGGCATCTGGATCAGTAATGTTCATGCCTTGGTGCAACCAATAAATAATTTCCAAGATGGTGATTTAACCATATCTCCTGATTTATTTTGTGCTTTAGAACAGTGTCCTTGCATGGCTAGCTGCTGAAAAGGAGACATGATGCTTATATAATATAGGGAAAATTTCATAGAGAACCTTAATTCCTCATATTATTTCATGGTAGGCCCTCTGTCCGTTTTTCTTTCAAGTGGCATAAGAAAACCCCTAAAGATTTCACTATAGCCCCTCATCTCTTATCTCCCTCTTTTATTGACTTTTGATCATAAAAATTAGCTCCAATAAATCTTTTTATGCCATTTCAACCCAAAAACTTTTTTAATGGTGGAGAGGGAAGAGGGTTAAAAACGTTTTTGGGATGAAATGGTATAAAAAAATTTGTTGGGGCTAATTTTTATGGTCAAAAGTCAATAAAAGATGGAGATAAGAGATGAGGGGGTATCATGAAATCCTTAAGGATTTCTTTTTACCGCTTGAAAGAAAAACAAAGAGAGGGTATACCATGAAATAATATGTGGAATTGGGGTTCTACACGAAATTTTCCTTATAATATACTAATTGATGGCAGGACAACAATGTTACAGTGCTCCGTGTTTTTATGTCAAAGAAAATGTTACGCTGGTAACCTTTGTTTTTATAAATAAAGTTTATGGATGACAAGCGGAGGTTGTAGATTTGAGTTGCTTTCTGAGATTTTTTTGCATGTAAATCTAAATAACTAAGAGTATATGTGCCTTTATAGGATAGACAAGAGACAGGGCTTGGCAACCTTGGTTGGTGATAACTGAGTTTCCCTAGTTACTTTAAGGCACAGAAGGGTAGAGATTACAGCCTGAAGACAGAATGTCAGGAGGTTGAAATGATTAAGAGGAACAACAGGATCCATTAATCTTATGAAGCCTGACCATCAGATGATTCTCCAAAGATAAAAATACATCTTCAACTGGATCATGGCCAGGATACCCCTTTTTGATCAAGTGATAAGATTGAAAGTGGAATTGTTGCAGATATAAGGATAGGTTGCTTGAACATGTTCGGGTAACAGAATAAAATATATTTTGTGCTGCTTAATACTCATAGGTGCTGGTATTCTCTTCGATTGGCTGAAAAATTGGGGAGTCCCCATTATGGAATCTTGCTTCTGTAATCGAGATTCAGATGCAAACGTCAAGAGCAACGCTAAAAAACTCAGCTGAGTCTGAGCTGAGGCGAGTTCCCATGTACCCGCTCGAGTATGGGAAAGCATAAAAAAGAAAAATGAAAGGGGGTTATATTTTCACCCACTTTCTTTTCGCTTCTCTCTCTCTAAAAGGGGGCCGGATCCTGCCCCCTTTTTGCTATCTTTCTCTATGAAAAGGGGGCCAGATCCGCTCCCCCCTTTCATACTTATGTCTCTGTCTCTAGATCTGCTCATCTCTCATTGAAGGAAGGACTCTCTCTTCCCAATCTTCGAGCTACACATCGCCACCCTCACTTGGCCAATTTCCTCTTAGTGGTTCTCTCTCTCCCCAGGTCTGTTGGCTAAATCTGTTCGGCTCTCTCTCCCTCTCTTCCCAAATGCTCACTCTTTCTCTCCCCCATTCCATTACCCGTTGTCCTATTCTTTTAATTTTCGGGTTTTTTTTAGGGCATTTCTATGCCTGTCAGTGTTCACAAAATCAAACCAGAATGGTTAATCGGATATGGGCCAACCGGCCTAACTGGTAAAGCCGACTTAACCGCTCTAACTGGGCAAGTCTCGGGTGGTCAAAAAGTGTTGAAAAAAAATACAAAAAAATATAAAAAAAAATCTACTAAAATATGAAAAGCATATAAAAAATGATTAAAACAAAACACATTCTAATAAAGTTGAAAATTAATGGAAAACCTGGATTTTAACCCACTTTATATTTTTCAAGGGCTATTTTTTAAATTTTCTAAAAAAGATGGGAAAATATAAAAGTGAGTATTAACGACTAAAACAATTTTTAATCTTTACCATAATGTAAAGAATATTTAAAAATGCATTACAAATCAAATTCCTTATTTTTGAGAATTTATATACATTTTGTTTTTTAAAATACCAGTTGATCACACTAAATGCCCAAACTCGGAACTGGCCACTGACTGGTTCTGATCTAACCGGGCTGTAAGTGGTTAGATCGAGCGATTTTGCGAACTATGATGCCTTGACATAAATCAGGCAAGACCACTTGGACACTTGATTTACTTGGCTTGGGCAGGGGTTGAGTCCCCAGCCCGAGCCAAGTATTGAACCCTGGTCTAGAGTTATTGGGTTATATCAAAGTACCTTACTACCAACTTCTACTTGGAGAACCCAAAATAAATGCCTTATTTTTTTAAAATTTGTTATCGATCAATCAGGTGATTGTACATACTTTATTCAACGAAGAAGATGGCATGCAAACTTTAGTTAACCTTGATTCTAATACTTAGAAACCTTGTAAGGGCACTCGAGGACCTTGATTCCAATGCTAGAGTGGAACCTTGATTAAAGGCACTTAATTCATTAATTTCAATACTAGGAGAACTCTTGTTTAGGGTAGTTGAGGGCTTGGTTCTAATACTTGGGGAACCCTGGCTAAGGGCACTCGATATATTGATTGCAATACTAATGGATTCTTGTTTGAAGATAGTCTAGAACTTTGCCATGTGGAACCTGTTTCTTAGTAATTTGTATGTGGTCCCAATTGGTTGGGTGCACGATCCTCAAAAGGTTAGGATCTCAATCCCAAAAGGTTGGGATCTTCATTCTTAAGATATGCACTGTATAGATGGCGCTTTCTACCATAGGAATCTTCTAGCATCTTGCATATCCCTGCTTCTGATTCTTAATTGTTCCTATACCTGCTCTCTCTTCCAACAACTATGGTTTGAAAGCGATCATTGAATGCAGTTTCAGCAAAAATCAATCATGGTGGATTCAGATAGATAAATGGTCAATAGTGGTTCTAAGAGTACGTTGATATTCAGATAGATAAATGGTTGATAGTGGTTCTAAGAGAACGGTAGTATTTTCATTTGGCAACTCTATTTATTTTGGGGCTTAGGGATTGGTGTTCTGTGTTCTATTTTATGGGTAGAAAAATGCTTTTGGGAATTGCAGGACAAGTATTCTCCTCTAGAATTTGAAAAAGAAGAAGCATTGAATGGTGTATTTGGTGAAGTTGCGAGGATAAAATCTAAAATGATTAAAGACAGATGGTTTTGTAGTCATGACATGTATCTATCATAACATAGCATTTGCAACGAAAGTGTAGCTTTAATGCTGGTGATAGTTAAGCTTAAAGAATATCTTGGAACATTGGAATGATTGTGCTTGCTAAGAATAGTGTTTTTTAGTTGAATATGGACGATGAACTTAATATTTCCAAAGACCTCAATTTGTATTTACCCAAATGAAGACTACTGTGCAGATAAAATCTTTTCAGTTGCATATGCGTGTCTGCTCTAGCCTTCCTTAATGTAGGAAATTTATCAACAAAGGGTATCCATTGTGTCATAATGACCTAGACAACAGAGAAAGAAGATGAAACTTGAGCCTAGTGATGACCAGGGTTTGCCAATTCTAGCAAGTCTTGGACTCGCTGGAGGCATTCAGGTTGCGGAGCCCTGTATAAATCCCCAACTCGGGAGAAATGTATAATTTTTTTTATAATTGTTTATTATTGATTTGTAATTGATTTTTATCTTTGAATGAATCAATTATAATTGATTTGTAATTAATTTTATATGTAGTTGTCATGTTTTTATGATTTTAACAAAATTTTCTGAAATTTTCTATGTTTTCTCCTTTTTCGATCTTTAGCAAGTTTAATATTTTTCTCATCTTTTATATACTTTTTATGTGAATTAGTCATCCCCCCTATGTTTAGGATTTTGAGGTTTTTTACCCGAAAATTTTGGGCTTCTTTTGGCTCATTGGGCCATTCAGCGTAGAGTTGGCCAAGCCGTGTTTTCAAGCACTGGCAATGACAATGCATTTATGAGATGAGATTCTCGTGGATACAATCTTTCTCAGTTGAATGAAGTGACTGTTTCAATGGAATTTTTCGAAATGGTATGGTTCTCAAAAGTTTTGATTGTTAGCTTCCCCTAATAATAAGTGCAAGTAATGAAAGTCAGTAGCTAATTATGAAACTTGTTCTGAAGCAAGTGGTCTTTTTGTCATTTGAGTTCTTATCTTTTCATGTCTCTTAACATGATAATCCTCTGCACCCTATTTTTTATAGATCAATGGACTTAGGATTTCTTCATGTTTTTGGTTTTGCCCTGTATAGAGGCTTATTTCTTAAGTAAATGTTTTGCTGATGACCTGCTAGATAATGTTAATTTTCTGTTGAACATATTCTGTTCAGTATACGATTGCATGGATACCACTGATCGGATGCTCATGCCTTTTCCTTGCATCAATTGGGAGGCCCTTTGGTGATGTCTCAATATCATGGCCTCCATTGCTTAAGAAACTTTAAGAAAGTGAGGGTACTAATTTCTTAAAAAGGAAAACAACTGAACATAGGAATTGGAGACAAGATTATCTTCCCTTAATTTTCTTCTTTTCATAATAACTTTGAAGGCAAAGGATAACCAACGACAGCCGACAAAAAGAGTGCACGATTCAGATGTCTGGATGCTTAAATTTCACATAAAACGTGTCTGCTTATATCATCTAGCCATAATAAGATCATACATCTCAAATTACAACCATGAATCATCATCCATTAAAGTTAACACGAGTCAATAGACTAACCCTACATGTTGATCTTGACATCAGGAGTTATTATAAATGCACAAATGTGGGTTGCAATGTCCGAAAACATGTGGAGAGAGCCTCGAATGATGCAAGGTCTGTAATCACAACATATGAGGGGAAGCATAATCACGATGTCCCGGCTGCTAAGAACAGCAGCCATAACACTATGCCCATGGCTACGGGTAAAATTTCGAGTACGCCTTTGGACAAACAGGCTACTACACTTCAAAGCACAGGTGTCTCGAGACCAAAAGAAGAGCCATTCTCAGGTCTTCTGACCCAAAACCCGGGTCCGAAATGAATGGACTGTGCAGGATATTTATCAGAATTTTGCTTTTTGTCAGGTCTGAGAAAGAAATTGGATTCAAATGCCATCATGGCCTGTATTTGATCGGCTTGGGCAGTTGGGTTAGATGTATATTTGATGACCCAGCCTGAGTGAGGAGGCCTTGGTATGTACAATTGTTCTCTCTTCCCTTCTTTTTTTGGTGTACATTCTTTGGTATTTTATTGAGATGGAGGATGATGCTTATGATTATATTGGCACAAAACTCCTCAGGGCCCATCCCTTGTTGCAGAGTATATAAGAAGTAATTTATGAGGTGATTTTATGGCAATGACACAGGGCTCCTTTGGTTGCGCTCCTCTCCTGAGATGTGAAAGGTTGGGCCTCTTACCCTGCTGGGATATCAAATTTGGGCTTCATACTCTGTTGGGATATCATGTTGGGGTTAAGATAATGAGTGAAACACTATGAATGGAATACAGTACAAGAGATTTTGATGGTGAATGCTCTCTCTCTTGGCCCATTATGTTAGGGCCATCTCTCTCTCTCTCAATATCATTTTTCGGCCCCTCTCTCTCTCTCTCTCTCTCTCTCTCTCTCCAAATATCATTTTTCAGGATGAGGTTTCTATAAGCCACCATGCTTACTCTTACTATATAAACCTGTTGGTGAAAGCAGGGGGATATTTTTGAGTTGGAACTGCACAGCCTTAATTAAAAAAAGTACACAATTTATAGGAAAAAGGATTTTGAGTTCTCAAACACATAAATTCATCTTCTAGCTTGTGTTCACTAAAAAGGACCTTTCTTTTTATAGTTGGTGGATTACCTGAACATGCCCTAGTGATATGTATGTAGCTATTATTTTTTACATGGATTACTCTCATATTTCTTTAGGGCACGTTTGGTTCAAGAGAAATTTGTATTTGGGGAGAGAGAATTTCTTTCTCATTTTTATTTCATGTAGTGTTTTAAAACCTGGCGCTTTTTTTTTTTTTGTTTTAAGCTTATTCAATGTATTTTTAGGTTCCCTTTAAATCCCTACTTTTTTAAGTTTTGATTCTGATTTTAATTTTTATTTCATTATTTAAAATTTCTCTGGATCACTTATTTGGATCGATCTGGATCGCCAATCCTGCGATCCGACACAGATCTGTGTGGTGAATAATCCACCCCGGCATTTTGAAACATGGGTTTCATGGGCAAGCAGAGCCTGGAGAAGCAAAAGTATTCATGGCGATGTATAAATTAGAGGTGTTCCATGGAAGGTGACTTTGTAGTATTATTCTCTTGTTTTATTTGTTGATTGCCTGTGACTGGTATTTTCTTGCTCTTTACTGTGCCAAAAAATATTGTGTGTAATATATTGAAATGTTGTCCTACTTTTAGGACTTCTAGTCGACTTTCCCTCTAAACGTACACTGCGTTATATTGTCTAATGCTTTTGTCTCAAATTGATGCATCCTAAGCATAAACTACCATTGGTAAATTCATACTTCTGATCCAATTGTTCAAACCATATTGAGATGTTGGGATCACTATCCAAGTCCCGGGCTATTTTGTATCTTGGGTTTTCTTTTGCTTGTTTTTTCTTCTTTATTTTATAGGGGGGAAGAGGTAGAGAGCTGAGTGGTAGGAATCGAACTTGAGATGTAGCATTTGCTAGTCGTAATCACTTAAGCTCATGAGTGTTTAGCACCTTTTCTCTCCATCTAAGGTTCGATCTCAGAAACTCCAAATAGGCTTGTGTTTGGATCACTACCTAGCCAATCCAAATCTGTATAGTGGATGACTAATCCAAGCTCAATTATGGGTTTTAAAATGCTTATTGAAATGTAACATAGAGCACGTATACTATGTCTCCCCTGGAGCAATCCCTTAGTCAAAGTCTGAGAGATTTTTATAATCTTAAATTTTGGGAACTACCTATGAATTACTAGATGATTATATTTAAAAGAAAGTTAAGATTTAGATCTTACCCTTCAAAAATTAGATGGTCTCTCTTCCATCTTAAGACATTATTGTTTTAGTACATAAAGAGTTTGAATTTTTTTGGTTGAGGTTAGTCTATGAGTTGAAGAGATTACGTTCTTAGAATTTGGGGTCCTAAAATTACTCCTATATTAGCAAAGGAGTGTGAAACTTTTTGGCTAAGAAATATGTAACTTAATTTTTTTTCTTTTTTCTAAAAAAAGACCCTTTCCTTCTTGTATATCGCAATTCGTCCAAGGGTAATACTAAAGTGAGGTCTCACTGGGAAAATATCGCATTGGTCCTTGATACCAAATTGTGCACTTCATCCTTGGGTGAAAGAACCTCCCTTGGGGGTATTTTTTGTTGATTTTAAAATTTTAAAATTATCTATAACATCACCTAAAAAAATTTGTTTTGAAGCCAAAGATTTATTTTAACCCCGACTAAAATCTTATTAACGAACCCAAGTAATTTTTTTTTTTTGAGAATATTAAATTATTTTATTACGTACTCAAAGAAAAGAAGATTACAATATAGAATGAATCCAAGTAATTAAGAGCTCAAGATATATGAAAACACTACAAAACGCCTATAGGTGAAGTTCTACAGTGTTTCGTCCCGTCACGGACATGCTATGTCCATGGCGGTCTTGCCTAAAAACTGCCACAGATGTACGTGATCCATGGCGATCTCCGTATATTTTTTGCATCAAATTTGCATTAAAAAAAATCCCGTTACAGACATGTTATATCCGTGACGGTCTTTAATCCCCACCATCCAAAACAATCGGACGACGCTAAGCCTATGGGCAAAAATACAGTTCATTTCACCCATAGGCGTTTTGTAGCCTCTTTCTATATATATATAGGCAATGATTTCATGCAACAGCTGTATAGTTATATAATACAATAACCTTCAAAAACCATGTTAAGGCCATTTGTTTTATCCAAATTTTGAAATATACACTCTTTTAATTCTAATAAACAATCACAAAAAGCAAAATTTGAAAATGGAACCTAGAAAGTATTTTTTAGCGCAATTAACATAGACGGTCCATTTTGATAATATAATTAGATGTAAGCCTTAGAATGATTTTTTTCTCTTCCAATTTTTTTAGATAGCTTTATTACCATTGGATGAACAATGTTAACAAAGGAAAAAAATGATTTTGAGTTCGTAGAGGCTAAGAACTTGAAATTCATCAAATGAATGGTCTAGATTCATAGTTGGAGGGGACTCATTTTGACCAGATCTAGTTTTCAAATTGAATTTCTTTTTTTGGGATGTATTTTTTAGATGAAGAGAGTGTGTGCATAAAATTTTGGGTCTTACGAATACTACAAACATGGTTTTCTAGAAGTGTGGTTGCATCATACTATAATACAACCATTGCATGAAATCACTATAATATATATATATATATATATATGGGAAAAGTTTATATAAGATTGCAACCTTAAAATACAGATGTACCTCAAAAATCTATCGGAAATGTTGTTTTAATATTGAAAAAACCTTCTAATCAATCATCTTGACATTGAGATGTATGAATATAAAAAAAAAAAAAAGTTTTTGAGTCCCGGAAATAGTGCATCTTACAACACATTATCTAAACCGTCCATTTTCAATATATTTATAGATCTACTTGATTTTAACCATTTTTAGAATTTAAAATTTTCTAATTAGATATGAAAATAGATTTTAAGATAATAATAATAATTTTTTATGACAAAATT